AGAAGAATCGAGCGAGGTTTGCTCTTGCTCCTTCGCGGCTTGCGGCGTCATCTGCCGACCTGGAGCAGACAACGGAGGGGGCTGAAATCGGCGCTCAGGATGAGCAGTGGGAGTATGTTGGTGCGTGTCTGTACGAGGAGGCTGAGTTGATTGGAGATGTGGTGGTCTCAGCAAAGAGGAAGTTGTTGCAGAAGACGATCGTCGACGAGCACCAGAAGGGGGAGCAGAAGGGAGGGGCGATTGCTGCGAAGGAATTTCCCCCTCCACATTTTGGAGAGGGACAGGGACAGGCTGCTGGCTACGTCGGAGGAGGAGCATACGCCCTCTCTGCTGCTGCGCATCTCTTTGCTTTGGTTGGCTGTGTATAAACTCGGATGCACCTGCTCGAAGACCAGAATCTAGCGTAGAAGAAGCAGGTGAGGGTTGTTGTTGCTCATTCGTCTCTTGCAGTGTCTTCTTCCGTCTTGGAGCGGACCAAGAAGGAGGATGCTCCAAACGCTCAGGATGGGCAGTGGGAATATGTCGGTGCGAATCCGCACGAGGAGACTGAGTTGATTGGAGCGTTGGTGGTCTGAGCACAGAAGACGTTGTTGCTGACGACGATCGTCGACGAGCACCAGAAGGGGGCCTGGAAGGGTGCGAAGGCGTTACGCCCTCCCCAGGTATCTCAGGATGCTGTTGTTGGGGCGGTTCTAGCTCCTGCAGTTGCTGCTGTTCCCGTTTCTGCGGCTGTTCGAGCATGCGCTGGCCCGGTTGTTGAAGGGCGAAAGCGAGCTGCACGCTGCTGTCAAGCTGAGTTCGAAATTGATGGTAACGCCGAGAACCTTCGCCCATCTCCTCTGCTAATGTCTTGGGGGGCCGACAGAACTTTCGCCTGTAGGCTGGTTCGGCAATCCCAAAGAAACCATGCGCTGCTTGCACAGTCTCCACCCAGGCACTCGCACCCTTGTCCTGCTTTAGTCTTCGCTTGCCAGAGTGTCGCACACACGAAACAAGTTTGAGCGCTGCACGGACTACTTGCATAGGGATCGAAGTGAACCTTTGCACCCACGGCTGCAGCTGCTGTAGGGCATAGCTACACTGTTTAATTCTATACTCGGAGATTGTTGCCTCCACAGCCAGCCCGCCAGAGTCCGCATTCGCTGGGGCCTCCCTAAATCGTTGCAGGAGTTCTAGCATATCCCTCCCTCGTCTTACTGTAAAATAGGCCTGAAGGGTGTCTAGTTGTGCCAAAGCATGAGCTCCCTCCTGCAAGACGAAATCAATCGCCCTCTGCCGCTCCACCTCAATTTGTGGTGTTGAGTAAACCCCATACAAAGCCAACTCCTGTGTGCAAACTGTCAACAACAAGACAACCAGAACGCCTCTAGACTCAGCAGGTACATGGGGCGCTGTTTGTACGCCAAGAGTTATGAGGGATCTCAACTCTTCTAATGCCTCCAGAGCCGTTGCTTCCCCTGCTACCTCAGTAGGTCTTGCCTCTGCACCCCCCGAACTCCCATCACTCTCATCGATCTCCTCTTCAATGCACACGTCTACCGAATGCTCGTCAGAATCAGAATCGGAGAGAGCCCGTTTACCCGGCGATCCAAACAACCTGGGGAGCAGAGCCTTCCGCGCACATTGAAACACGGCAAACGCCACTGCTAAACACACAACCGCCACTAAACCAGCGCTAACAGCCACGTTCTGACTTCTTCGCCTCTGCCTTTGTAACCTTCTGATCGCCGAGGGCTCGAAACCGTCCAAAGGCTGTCTCGCAACTAAATCCAATGGGGTGGAGCGGTGGAGACGCACATCTCCATTCTGAGGCATGACAATCGATTGTGCGGCTGCCCCGCTTGAAGCCACACTGGTCATCTCTGCAGCTCCAGTTACTACTGCTGTTGCTGCTGCAGCTACAGCAACGAGCGCTATCGACCGAACCAAGCTCGGCAAACCACATGCCACCTTGTGGATTCCGCTTCGGTGGCATGCCCCCATTGGCAACCACCGGGAAATGCAAGCTTTCCAGGCCTCAGCTACGTCTAAATATGGAAGCGGTGAGTTTTTAATTTGGTTGCAGGCAAAATTCCACGCCTCCAATCCAAGCGCCTGGGCGATAGTCACTGCCGAGCATGCGCACACTGCCGCAGGGATGTACTCACGCGAAAGGGCTCCAAAATTGCGTAGCAAGGATATCCATAGTTGCTAAAAATTCATGTTAGTGACGCACGGATTGTATGCAAGCAGCCGCAACTTCCGCTAGTGTCCAGTCGCCTTGCTGACTTGCTTCCCCACAGTGGCTATCACCGGCAGAAAACGGCCCAGCAGCTTGTTTGTGGTTTACTGGATTTAATACAAACGGAGACGTTGCCCAGGAGTTGATGATCCTTAGGCGAAGGGGCGAGAAAGGTGAAAACGTGCGGAACACCCGAAGAAAATCGATACAGAAATGTGCAGTGGCGATAGCACCTGGTTTTTGGCAGCTTCTTCGGCAGATAAGCAACAAGAAAAGAGCGAAAAATGGCTCTAAAAAGTAAACTAATATATTCTAGTAACTACGCCTCATCAAGAAGCGAGAACACCAAGCCGGGAACGCGTTCCCCCACGTCTGCCAATCCTGAAGAGAGCGGGTGATGCAAAGAGCGGGTGATGAACTAGAACATGCAAGTCGTAGGCAGTGAAGGATATAAAATGAAAATGCATATCGCAAACAGAAAAAAGAATTTATATATACGGTGGTGGGCTTCTGGCATTGCACTGTTACAGGGTAAACTCGAGCGTGATCGGCGGTTCGGGCGCCACGGGCATCAGACTGCAGACTCGAGCAGGTCGCGGGCAGGAAAGCGGATGTTTCAACCATTACGCACCACACTAACCGATTAAGAGAAACTGCCTAGTTTCGCAAAATTCAGCAGAAGGCTGATATCACTGTTTGGCGTGTCAACCGGTGGAACTGTACATCTTTCGTCGGTTGGATGAGCCACATCACAACTCAAGGCCAGCTCAGACGAAATGTCTCCACTTGTTAGTGGCCTTCACACAGGCAATGTGAGGCGCCAATAAAGAAAATATGTTTCGGCGGTAGTTTGCGGGGGGTTTCCACATACAACAACAGCCGTTGAGGGTATCTAGCATCTTGCGTCTTACCTGCTCAGGAGCTTGGTGCGGACAAGCTTCGGGACGCCGGGAGTGCGTGCGCAGACCAAATGCGTGTCATCGTTTTGCGGCCCCAGAATACGTCCAGTTAGCCAAATGAAGAAGAAGGTATGTTCCGAGATCCGTAGCACGCAAGGACTGTTCTCCTGTATGAGCTCCCACTGCATACAGGGTAAGATATCGAGTACCGCCCATGGTTGACCGCCGTTAATTCGAAAGGCGAATTATTGGACCTGCATGGAAAAAGTGGAAGTGTACCGCATTGCCCATGAACCAAGGCTGCGAGGGGCCTCCTCTCCTCGGTGAATTCGGCGCTGCATCGTTAGGAACACCGACCGTGGTGACCGTGTCAAAGCAGTTCATTGTATTTCCACGTTCAGTGACTTCCACTCTAGTTGCTCTGACTTCAGTTCGCCGCCAACGCTTTGCTTCCCCCAAGCAACTTCTCACGCCGATTTCCCTCATCTAGTTTGGGGCAGTTTAACCTCTGTCAGGATTAGTTGCATTGGACTTAGACACTAAAAGGGAAGACTTATTTTTTTAAAGGTTTCGAATAGCGTTGCATTTGCAACGGGCTCATAGAATCCGCTAATCCAGGGTCACACAACATAAGCGCTTTCTATGTGTATGCTTGCATCTCCGAATTGGGGCGGACATCTCTAGACAGAAATTTTTGTATCTGCGTGTGCACGTGCACGTATGCAAAGGCAGGCGTCTATGTGCGCATGCATACCTGCATGTGCAGTTGTAGCTTTCAGCATGTGTGTGTGTGCGTCTGTATGTGTATTCGAAAGAATATGCTTGAATGCATGAATTTCCATGCATGCTGGTGAGCAAGCACGGCTAGCATACTCTTGCGCAAATACATGGTAGGCACATGCGGACGTACACATGCATATGCGCATGCATATGTATTCGTATGTGCAGATATACGCATAAATGCATATGTGCGCCCGTGTATGGGTACAGGCGAACATATGCATGAGCTTATGTGCATGTGAATGCATATGCGTACTTCTGCCTAAGTTCGTGTTTGGACTAGGATGCATGTTCTTAGCTGTAGGTTTCTTTCGGAAGGCGGCGTACATGTACTTGAATATGCCTCTGTTTGTTCATGTGTGCGTAGGCATATCCGTACGTGCGTGCGTAGAGGGAGACAAATACGAGGGGAACTTTATTGTTTTTAAAGCCTCATCCCACCAGATCGAAAGTGATAACTGGCTTAAGTTGGGTCTGCCCTGTCCGATGGCTGAGGGATTGTATGCGCCTAAGCAGTTTAGCAATGGAAACCTCCTATTAGCAGCAACAGCTAGCTGCGGTTCCCTAGGAAACACTACAGGACATCAAAAGCAAAGAAACAAAGAGCGCCACAGTGTGCATGCAATACCTATAATGCTTATGTGCAGAAGGCACACCACTGTTCGCGTTGTAAAAGCACTTGTGGGAATGCTGTTTGACATTCAACGGTAAAGAAGGCAGCCAAAGGAAGGAAAGAGTAGCATGTTGACTTGCGACAAGACCGCTGATCCGTTATTTCCCGTCACGTTAAATGGCTCCACGGCAGCTGCAAGCTCACACATGTGACTCGCCTAATAGAGAGACCAACTCAATCTCTTCTACAGACACAAAACATGCTACTAAGTCATCACTTCGCAAAAGGTCAAAACCGTCTAACACTGCTCGATCTACGGGGCTTGTTGGCGCATTTGGAAATGCCACTATTGCGTGCGGCTAACCCCACTATATTCTTGAAGATTCCCTGCACCCCCCTGGCTCTGCGGTGCTGCCTCGAGGGCTGGAGAGGCCCCTCGGCCCCCTGTGCTTACTCGTATGCTGCTTTCAACATCCAGGAACACGTCCGAGCTCTCGCGAGAGGCAGGAAGTTGCTGCGGACGAGGAAATCGTGGCAGCGCCTCTTGCCCATGTCGTTCCATCTCATCTCTGTCAGACCAGTGGGTGCCTACCGTTGGAAACGCTTCAGCAATCAGCGGCAAGAGGGGGTTAAGGCTTTCCGTCTCCCTTGAGTTGTCGAAATAAACGCCTCCTCGGGCGCCCTCACCCCCAGGCGGCCAAAAGGGTGCAGGAGCAGCAAACCGTGAGGCAGGTATCTGTCGCCGACCTCCAGAAAATGGATACAGAGATGTGGCCACAGACCGTGCGTTTTGCGAGGCGTGGCTCGGAAACGTTGGTCTCGGGAATCCGAGCGACGATCCTTCGGTGGGAAGCGAAGGTCGTGAGCGGGTGACACAAGGTCCAGACAGTGGTTCGGGGGTGCTAGAATGACGCTGGAGAGGCTTGAGGCTGTCATGCGGAGACGCGGAAACCTGGAACGTCGTGTGGTGGTGCCCGCGCTGGCTCTGCATGGGTATAGATGGTGTATAAGCCAAGAAAAAACTGCTCTGCACCGAGGTAGAATGATCAGCGGGTTGCCAGGGGGACGCGAAGCCACGTGGTGGTCGAAGGGCCCGCACAGCATCCCTGGCACCAGAAGCAGTAGGGGACATTTGCTGCTGTGCGTATGTGTGTGCTTGCCCTCTCGGTGTGAACACGGGTGCTCCCACTTGAAGAACAGACTTTGCTGTGAAGTACTCAAGTGAGGATTGCTGTTGGTCGTTTGTCTCTTGCTGCGACTTGCCCCAGCTTGGAACGGAAGGGGTAGAGGGCTGATACGTGTGCTCAGGCTGAGGGCTGGGAATATGTTGGTTAGAATGGTTACCAGGAGGCTGAGTTTGTTGCCGCACGGGCGGGCTCAGCAAAGGTGATATTCGCGTTTGCAAGGTTGCTTGGCAAGGAGCACGACACGGTTGGGAAGAATGAGAAGAGAGCAACACCACACCAGTTCGGGGATCAACCACGTGATCAACATGCCGGAGGACGGAAGTATCCGCCCCAATATTCTCAGCATGTTGGCTGGCCGAATTGTGGTTTTGCTGGTTTTTCGGGTTTACGTCCTGCTGTGGCTGCTGCTCTGCATGCTGGCGTTGTTCTTGCATGTGCTGTTCCAGCGGCTGATCACGCAAAGCCTGTTCAACACTGCGGGTCAAAGCTGTTGCGAGTCGTCTGTAACGTGACGTAAGTTTTTTCATCTCCTCTTCTAATGGCCTGCGGTGCGCCTGGGATCGCTGTTTGTTACGTGGCTCGGCAATCCCAAAAAAGGGGATCTGGGATTGAACCGTCTCTATCCAGGAATTCGCAGCGGGGTCTGCTTTGAGTCTTCCTTTCCCCGTCAGTCGGGTATAAGACAGAACTCTGAGGGCCCGATCGCTCACCTTTTCGGGAATAGGCATGGAACTTTTAACCCAAGGCTGCAGCTGTTGTAGAGCCTGCCTACACTGTGAAACTCGATACGCGCAAATGCTTGCCTCCACAGCCAGCTCCACAGCCAGCTCCGGAGGGTTCGACTCCAGTCGGGGAGTTCTAAATTGTTCCAAGATCTCTAAAATCTTTTCCCTTTGGCTTGCAGCCGTAGAGTGCTGGTCAAGAGCATCTAATTCTGCCAAAGCCTGCTGTCCCCGCTGCAAAATGAAATCCATCGTTTTCTGCCGCTTCAACTCAATTCTCGGAGTTGAGTATATTCCGTACAAAACCATCTGCTGCGTGCAGATTGTCAAAAGCAAGACAACCAGAAAGGCCTTCTTATCAAAAGGAAGACAAGGTAACGCTTCCACGCCAAGTTTCCAGGTGAATACCAGCTCTTCTAATGTCTGGAGAGCCTTTAATTCTCCTGCTTCCTCTGCAGAGTCTCCCCCGTGTCTTGGATCCCCATTCCCTACATCATCCTCACTCTCCTCATGCCCTTCGTCAGCACATGCCTTTCTCCACTCTTCGTCTAAATCTGAACTCGACAGAGCCCTCTTACGGGTATATCCAAACAACCGCGGGAACAGTGCCTCCCGTGCACATTTTAACACGATGAATGCCACTAATAAGCACACAAAAGCCACCGAGCCTGCGGTAACCGCGAAATGCCAGCTTTTTCGAAACTGCTTCTGCCGAGTCCTAATTTCTGAGGACTCCAGACCCCCCAATGTCTGTCCCACAACCAGATCCACGGGGGTGTAGGGATGAACACGCGCAGTTTCGTTCTTAGGCAGGTCAGTCGATACCGTAGATGTCTGGCCTGAAGGTGTATTTACGGCACTTGCTGCTCTACTTACTGTGGCAGTTGTTGCTACTGCTGCAGCAAACAGTGTTAGGCGGGCGAGCACTCTGGGCAACCAAAATGTCTCCCTGTGGGCTCCGCAGTGGTTTGCGGCCCCCATTGGCAGCCGCTAAATATTGCAAGCTCTGCAGGTGGAAGTTGTTTCTGCATAGGGCCAACGGGCTGCGTTCGACTTGTTAGGCCGTATGCAAGTGTGCCCGTCTCCAATTCAAACTGCCTACCGATGCTGCTAGCAGATATGGATGGACGCACCGCCGCAGGCACGCACTCACCTTTGCGCCTTGAACGTTGATAAAGCAAAGACATCAAGATTCGTTACAAATCAGTCGTGGAGAAACCTGAGCTGTTTGCAAGCAGCTGCGACTCCCGTTGCTCTCAAGTCGGCCAGACGCCGTGACTTGTCAGCGGTGGGGAGACAACGGCGGGAAAAAAAAGCACAGTTGCTTCGTTCGGGGCATGTGAGGTTTAATACAAAATTAGCTGTTGATTGGAAACGTGGCAATCCAGTGGTGGGCTGGCCAGGGAGGTGCGAACCGGCGGAACCTCCACAGGAAAGGCCAGACCAGGAGGTCCAGTGGCACGATAGCGCGAACCACGTGCTGACGGCCAACGGCCGGTTGGCAGGTGCGACAGCACCTAAGAGGGGGAAACGCCAAAAGTGCCTCGAAAAAGGGTAAGCATATATATACTTTACTAATTATTTACTCGCAAAAACGAAAGGAACCATGCGGGGAACTCGTACCGTGTCCCTAAAGACGTGAAGATACTGAACGATGAAGAGTAAGTTGTGAGTACCGGTCAGTGAAAGGCATACATCTACATATTAGAAGTGGCGTTCAAAATCGTAATACGTCATAAAATGAATTCCAGCATAATTGGCCCGTTGCCGGTCACTGGCGTGGGCTGGCAGACTCCATTCGACCCAAGCAGGTGTGGGGTAATCCGCTCCTTACGCTTCCTTACGCTTCAGGATAATAGCTTGACAGAGCTAACCTATTTTTTCGAGCAACTGCATGGGTGTGAGAATGGAATTGCTTGTATAAGCGGCTCACTTTGTAAGTTTCTTGTGTTAGCACGGTGAGATCGACATTGCTTCGCTCAGGATGAGGCACGTTGCAGCAGGATAACAGGCCAGATGGAACGGGTCAATGTGTTACCCGCCACCGAGCAGGCAATGCAAAGCATCAAGCTGGAAAAATAAGTTGCAAACGGAGATTCTGTGTGTTTATGCCTTGGTGCAATAAGCGCTGTTGTAGGCACCCAGACCAACTCTGTGTGCTCCAGTTTCAGCCTGTACTTACCCTCACGTAGCGAAAGCCAGACATCAGTTGGTGCAATAATAGTAACACTACGGACAGGTTCCTCTCAAGACTCTGTAGTGATGAAGGAGTGTTCTCATCTGTGCTTAAGTCTTGTCACACTCAGTGTAAGGAAAGATACCAAACAGTGTGCACGATTGACCGCGGTTCGTGCAAACATTATACAATATACAAGGCACGCGCTCTACAAAAACAGCATCCATCTTCATGAATTGACTCGGCGATGCGCTTCCGTACATCAGTGAGTTCAGAGCCGTGCCGCTAGGAATGCCAGCAGCGGCGATTCAGTAAATATAGCTCGTCTTAGGTTCCTCTATCTCAACATCATTTCAGCAGGTCTGGTTTCATGTCACCCTCAACGCCTTTTTCCCGGCATTCAATTCCCGTCCAAAATTGTCTTCGCTATGTGTTCAGACAGAAATTGTAGCGTTCGCGCTGGCTCACAGAGTTGCACGCGCAATTTGTCACCTATAACTCGCTGAACAACGGTCTGTCCCCCCCCCTCTTTCTCTCTATATCTATATCTATAACTATATATATATATATATATATATATATATATATATATATATATAT